TCCTAAACTGTGAAGGTAGAATATTTAAAATACATGGGTCCTACCAGGCATGCTGGCTGATGCCTGTAGTCGCAGCTACTTGGGAAGCTGAGGTAGGAGGATCACTTGAATTTGGGAGTTCAAGGCGGTAGTGAGCTATGATCACACCTGTGCATAGCCACTGCAATCCAGCCTGGCTACATAGTGAAACTCCGTCTCTTTAAAAAACAAACAAAAAACTAACAAACATTGGTCCCTCTACCTCAGGAAGATTACTGTGGATATGCTGTCACTGCAGAAAAGCTGTTTGTACCTCTGTTTCCTTAATTAATGTTTTTGAATGAATAATACACTAACATTCTTCTAAAATCAAGATGACAAAAAAATACTTCGGTGTTGAAGTCTTGCTTCTGCCTATATCTGTCTTACTCATACTTCCACCAACAGCTAACTACTTTTATTTTTAATGTATCCTTTTACTTTATGCAGATAGGAATAAATAGGAATACGTATTATTTTCACCTTTTCTTACATGAAAAGTAGATCGTTCTACCCTTTTCCATTTTCACTTATTTTTGATCTTTTAAATCATTTCCTTTCTCCCACTGTTAAAATACAGCATATGATTTTTAAACTGTTTCCATGACTCTCTCACAGCCGGGTTGAACAGAGTAGTTTTGGGCTGACAAGTTGAGAGGGAAATCACTTGAACTTTATATGCTCCTGGTTTTGAAGTCAGTACCTCTGTGACTAAGAGTCAAAGTCTTTTTAAAAGCTATTTTATGTAAACTAGGCATATTCTGCACAAGGCAGCCTGTGACATGCCTTCTAAATAGTTTGAAAACATTATGTAGCCTGAAGAAAAGCACAAGGAAATAACTGGAATAGTTCTCTCTATTCAACTTTAATGTAAATGCTACTTGATACTTACATGATTGGTTTTGTGGTATTTTCATCAGTAAAATTGTTGTTTACACACATACATATTTGTGTGTGTTAGCGAACATACTATGTTTGTGAGCACTTTTGGAATTAGTTTGTTATAATAGTATACATAAGACACAGTACCGGTGCTCAGATCAGTCATGCAGAAAGCTGTCTTGGAGTAGACTTTTGCCTAGAAGACACAAGACATTTTCTTCAATGGCAAGTTTTAACATTTGACATAGTGAAGCAATGGTGTTGGGGTAGACTGCTGGGCTACATTGTGGAATACCTGTACTTGAGTCCTGAATGTGGCATTAATCCAATTTGGATTACCAGCTACCAATTTGGATTGCATTTACCTGATCTGAAAAATGAGGGAGCAGGAATGGGAGTTAATCCCAGA